AACACGTGGCCCTATTTCTCTTTTTGGTAATGGTTGTGGGTGGGTGGGTGGGTACTGGAGGTTTTCTGGACAGCTGTAAGGTAGATTTGACATTCTTGTGCCAGAAACAGTAATTAGAGTGGTCCAGTTAATCAGAGAGCTCACTCAACATCATTGCCTTTTTTTTTTTAGTCAGAGTCTCACTCTGTTGCCCAGGCTGGAGTGCAGTGGCATACTCAAGACCACTGCAGCCTCAACCTGCTGGGTTCAGGTAGTCCTTCTGCTTCAGCCTTCCAAGTAGCTGGAACTGCAGGCATGTGCCACCATGCCTGGTTAGTTTTTTGATTTATTGTAGAGATGAGGTCTTGCCATGTTGCCCAGGCTGGTCTTGAACCCGTGGGCTCAGGCACTCCTCTTGCCTCAGCCTCCCTAAGTGCTGAGATTGTAGGTGTGAACCACCATGCACAGCTTGTTTTGTTTTTAAGAGACAGGGTCTTGCTCTGTTGCCCAGACTAAAGTACAGTGGCCAGACATAGCTCACATTTAATCTTGAACTTCTGAGCTCAAGCAGTTTTCCCACCTCGGCCTTCTCATTAGCTGGGACTGCAGGCACACACCACCAGTGCCTGGCTATGTTTTTTTTTTTTTTTTTTTTTGTAGTGGTGGAATCTCACTATGTTGCCCAGGCTGGTTTTGAACTCCTGGCCTCAAGCAATCCTTCCCCAACAGCCTCCCAAAGTATTGGGATTACAGGCTCAAGCCACCACACCCGACTGGCATCACCTCTTAACTTACCTAGTAGTGAAAATTGTTCCCAAGATTACGCACAATGGCCATAACAGGCAAACTCCAAATACTGAAAAGAGCTCCATTTGCTCATTACAGGCGTCTTTATTTGAAAAAAAAGTTAAAAATGCTCTGGCACATAACAGATCTGGGCCTTTGCATTTCAACCTTGGGCTGTATCATGTGATTTCAATGATTTGCAGGTTAAGTAGGTTTAGACGTACTGATAATGAAATTTAAAACAATTGTAGGTCCTGGCACAATATTAAACATTTTAAACTTAGTATTTGGTTATTTTGGCTTCTCCAGATTTATGCAGTTCTAGTGCTTTCTGCTGTGGCTTTAGCTAGAAAGCCACAAAAACCAAAAAATGGGTGGTTAACATTTTTGTGTACTGTATATAATAACCAAGGGATGCAAGGATGAGAAAAAAATGAAAAACATGCTGAGATTTTCAGACTCTATTGTATCTAAACTAAGTGGCTGGATGTCAGGCAGAAATTGGTAGGTGAATTCTTTCCTGGTATTGGCACTCTCTGGTCTCTCCTTGGTCTTGCAATAGGCATATGCCTTCTTGCCTTAGAAAAGCCCCTTTTCTTTCTTCAGTTGAAGCTGTTTCCAGCCAGGCAGAGCAATAAATTGCCCTCTTGTGATGCCAAACACAGACACAAAGTCCTGTTCAGAGAGGTAATTCTAAGAGAGAAAACAAAGTTCCTGGTTAGAAAAAAGACATGTCACCTATCAATGTCTTTTTTGGGTTTTTTTTGGTGTTTTTTTTTTGAGTTGGAGTCTCACTCTGTCCCAGACTGGAGTGCAGTGGCCGCTCCCGGCCACTGCAGCCTCGACCCACTGGGCTCCGGCAATTCTTCCGCCTCAGCCTTCTGAATAGCCGGAATTACAGGCACACGCTACCATGCCCGGCTGATTTTTTGATTTTTTTATTGTAGAAATGAGGTCTCGCCAAGTTCCCCAGGCAGGTCTCGAACCCGCGGGCTCAGGCAATCCACTCACCTCAGCTTCCCAAAGCGCAGGATTATAGGCTGGACCACCGAGCCCGGCTGTCTTTTTTGTTTTGTTTTTGTTTTGAGTTGGAGTCTCACTCTGTCACCCAGACTGGAGTGCAGTGGCACACTCCCAGCCACCGCAGCCTCAACCTGCTGGGCTCCGGCGATCCTCCCGCCTCAGCCTTCCAAGTAGCTGTAACTATAGGCACACGCTACCGTGCCCAGCTAATTTTTGATTTATTGTAGAGATGAGGTCTCGCCAAGTTGCCCGGGTGGGTTTCAAACCCATGGGCTTAGGCAGTTCACTCACCTGGGCCTCCCAAAGTGCTGGGATTACAGGCTGAGCCACCGAGCCTGGCCTCACCTAGCAATGTCAACAGAGGTGGGAAAGGGGGAGCAGGAGGGAGTCCTCGGTCGACTCTAGAAGGGGGAAACAGGATGAATTTCTCAGAAAGGATATAATGGACTTAAAGTATTTATTGGAGAGATGTTTTCAGGTTGTAAAGTCCCATCGTGGCCCGTGGAAGCAGCTTACCGGATGTATGGCTCTCATGGCCTGGCTAGCACCAGCTTCTTGCCAGAGGCAATGACTGGGTTATATATTATGGATAAATTATAGACATTAGATTTTGGCAGAAGGGAGAACTAAATTGAGTGACAGTTTTCTTTGCTTTATTCTCTTAACTACCATTTTTATCTAGAAATTTTCAAACGCAAGATAAAGTGGATCTTACCGAGAACATCACATTCTCCTAACATTTATTTAATGGTGTAATGAATATTTTATATACAAGTAGAGGTTATTAGTAAATGGCCTCTGCTTTCAAGCAAGTTGTAGTCTAAATACCTAAGAGTTGGTTAGATAAGACGTGGGAAATCCAGAGACCCTTTCCAAGTCAACTTCAAGGGGAAAGTACATTAATTCATTTTAACATGAATATGTTGATTCATTCACCAAAAGTTAAGGAGTGCCTCTTGGCTGCTGGACACTGCCTTAGGTGCTGAAAAGCTGAGAATATTATGGTGAACAAGACAAAGTCTTTCCTCTGAAGCATATTACTGGAGAGGGAGATAGACATGAACAGGTATAAAGGGACGAGGGGGACGAGAAGCAGCGGAGGGTGGTTGGGAAGGCCTCCCTGAGGAGGTGACATTGGTGTCAAAACCTAAATGACCAGGAGGTGCTGACCCTGTGATGATCTGAGAGCATGTTTTTTTCAAGCAGGAGCACTAGCAAGGATAAAGTCTTAAAGGCTGGAATAAGCATGTTCAAGGATAGACGAACAGCCACAGGCTGAAGTGTAAATGAAAAGGGTAGGGGTATAGGAGACAAAATCAGAGAGGCAGGGGCCGGATTGTGTGAACTTCCGATTCTTTCTTAAGTGCAGTGGGAAGCCATCGAGGTGTTTTAAGCAGGACAGTGCCATCTGTTTTGTTTGTTTGTTTGTTTTTAGCTGGGGTCTCACTCTGCCACCCGGGCTAGAGGGTAGTGGCACAATCATGGCTCACCGCAGCCTTGACCTTCCAGGCTCAGACTATCCTTCCGCCTCAGCCTCCTGCGTAGTTGGGACTACAGGTACATACCATCATGCCCAGCTAATACATATTTGTTTTTTTGTAAAGATGAGGTTTCATTATGTTGCCTAGGCTGGTCTCAAGCTCCTGGGCCCAAGCAGTCCTCTTGCCTTAGCCTCCCAAAGTGCTTGGTTTATAGACATGAGCCATGGGTACCATCTGTTTTAAAAGATCCCCTTGGCCGGGCTTGGTGGCTCAACCTGTAATCCCGCGCCTTTGGGAGGCTGAGGTGAATGGATTGCCTGAGCCCGCGGGTTTGAGACCCACCTGGGCAGCGAGACCTCATCTCTACAATAAATCAAAAAATCAGCCGGGCGTGGTAGTGCATGCCTGTAATTCCGGCTACTTGGAAGGCTGAGACGGAAGGATCGCCGGAGCCCAGCAGGTCAAGGCTGCGGTGGCTGGGAGCGGCCACTGCACTCCAGTCTGGGCGACAGAGTGAGACTCCAACTCAAAATTAATAAATCAATAAAATAAAAGATCCCTTTGGGCCGTGCATGGTGGCTTATGCCTGTAATCTTAGCACTTTGGGAGGCCGAGGTGAGAAGATTGCCTGAGCCCACAGGTTCGAGACCAGCGTCCTGAGCAACTTGGTGAAACCTTGTCTCTACAATAAATCAGAAAGTTAGCTGGGTGTGGTGATATGCACCTGTAGTTCCAGCTACTTGGAAGCCTGAGGTGGAAGGATCGCCTGAGCCCAGCAAGTCGAGGCGGCAGTGGCCATGAGCATGCCACTGTACTCTAGCTTGGGCGACAGAGTGAGAACCCGACTCAAAAAAAAAAAGAAATAAAAAAGATCCCTTTGGCTGCTGTGTGGAGAACAGATTGTAGGACTGGGTGGAAACCATTTGAATCCTAATGGTCCATGATGACTGGACTAGACTAGCAGCAGAGAGGTGGAAAGGAGTGGACAGAAGCTAGCTGGTGGGAGGTTGATGTGGGAGGTAAAAAAAAAAAGAAAACAAAGGGAGCCCTGGGTTTTGGGGTTGAACTACAGATGTCCACTGAGGGCCTCCCATGTCCCAGAACTGTCTTAGGCCATCTGCTGACATGGGTGCTTCACTCACGGAGAAGAGCTCCACTTAACAACCAATAGCTCCTTCAGCCACGCACCTCCTTTTTGGCAGGGTTCACGTCCTCGGGCAGCTCTTGATTCTGGTTTTTCAATAGAACTTCTATGGGATAATATTTTGACTCACTGTTATGAGAATTCAGGGAGAGGGTTGCGTTCTTCATGTCCTAGGCAGATAAGAATGTAGACACAGGAAGAGGTGGTTCAGCGTCTGTGGTTGCAGTTCTGTGTGTGTATAATATTTAACATCTTGACTTACACCACATCACCCTTTGTCATCATCTTTCAGAACAATGGTCCCCAAACCTGGCTGCGTGTCAGAATCATCTGGGAATCAACAATATTCAGATTTGGGGATCTTTCTTGGGAAAACTGATTCAGTGTGTCTAACGTGAATCCTGTATAGCCAGATGGGCACCCATACTGTGCCTGCATCTCATTTAAATATTGGGATTACACGCCTTCTCTGGGCACTTTTTTTTTAGGCCCTTTTTTTTTTTTTTGAGTTGGAGTCTCACTCTGTCGCCCAAACTGGAGTACAGTGGCCACTCCCGGCCACCTCAGCCTCGACCTGCTGGGCTCCGGCGATCCTTCCGCCTCAGCCTTCCAAGTAGCTGGAACTACAGGCGCGCACTACCACGTCCGGCTAATTTTTTGATTTATTGTAGAGATGAGGTCTCACCAAGTTGCCCAGGCGGGTCTCGAACCCGCGGGCTCAGGCAATCCACTCACCTCAGCCTCCCAAGGCACGGGATTACAGGCTGAGCCACTGAGCCCGGCTGGCCCTTTTCTTAAATACAGTTTTTGTCTCTTTTTATTTTATTTTTTGAGTTGGGGTCTCACTCTTCACCCAGGCGCACCACAGCCTTGACCTCCTGGACTCAGGGAATCCTTCTGCCTCAGCCTTTCAAGTTAAATACAATTTAAGGACACTACATCAACATTTGCTTTGAAATCTGAGCTTGTAGAACACAGAGGACAACATTGCCAGAGGTTTGAACACCTGGAGCCATGCACTTGTCTTCAGGTTAGAGAGGTACTGGGCTCCACCTAGCCAGAGGCTCCACATCTAGCCATTCAAGTAGGGGTAAATAGCCCGGATTTCTGTGGACTTCACTGTTAGAATCTGATAAAGGTATCATTTGAGTTAGAAGCTATTATTTCTGACAAACACTGCCAATAACTTTAATCTCCTGAATAATAGAGGGAATTAAATAAAATAAACTTTGAGCTTGGGCGCAGTGGCTCAGCCTGTAATCCCAGTACTTTGAGAGGCTGAGATGAGAGGATTGCCTGAGCCCAGGGGTTCGAGACCAGACTGGGCAACTTGGTGAGGCCTCATCTGTAAAATAAATCACAAAAACTAGCGTCTGTAGTTCAGCTACTTGGAAGGCTGAGGGGAAGGATCGCCTGAGCCTAGCAGGTTGAGGCTGCAGTGGCCATGAGTGTGCCACTGCACTCCAGCCTGGGCAACAGAGTGAGACTCCAACTCAAAAAGAAAAAAATTAACTTTGGGTTATTTCTTGTTGTTTTTAAAGAGCATGTCTGTCCTAAATTTTGGAAGCCAGTAAAATAAGGAACTTAGTTCTGAGACCTGCTTTTTTATTGATTAAAAAAATCCTTAGGCCAGGTGCAGTGCCTCACACCTGTAATCCCAGCACTTTGGGAGGCTAAAGTGGGAGGATTGCTTGAGACCAGGAGCTCAAGACTGGCCTTAGCAACATAGTAAAACCCTGTCTCTGTTTAAAAAAAAAAATCGGCCAGGCTCAGTGGCTCAGCCTGTAATCCCAGCACTTTGGGAGACCGAGACAAGTGGATTGCCTGAACCTGCGGGTTCGAAACCAGCCCGGGCAACCTGGCAAGACCTCATCTCTACAATAAATTTTTTTAAAAATGGCTGGGCACGGTAGCGCGCACCTGTAGTTCTGGCTACTTTGAAGGCTGAGGTGGAAGGATTGCCGGAGCCCAGTGGTTCAACGCTGGGGTGTCCGCAAGCGTGCCACTGCACTCCAGCCTGGGCGATGGAGTGAGACTGCAACTCAAAAAAAAATCTTTACATCAAAATAGACAACTAGAGTAGCACTAAGTGGGACATGAGCTTTGCCCATGGGCATCTAGCCATTGCTGTTTCCTGTGGCTCTGTCGCCGCTGAGGCTGGCTTCTCCATGAGCAAACCCAACTTACAGCAGTAATCCGCACAATGGCTGCAGCATTGCCTAGCTCTTCTTTTAATTGTTCATATGATTTTCCTGCCTGGGAAGAAGAGACAGAAAACACAGGATGAGGTATTTCTCATTGGGGAGGGACCTCTTAGACCTACTCTGTATTTTTAGGAAAAGCAAAAGAGCCAGGGGGCCAGAAGACATTTCAAGGATAAGTAAAATGAAAATGCCCCCTCTGGGTCCACGCAGGGTTGAGAACTACTTAAAGATGGTGTACATTCTTTGATGGCGCCGCCCCAATCCTTCCCACAGGATTGAAGAAAGAGCAGTTGACTAGAAGTCAGAAGACCTGGCTTCTTCGTGTTGGTTAACTCTAGCTTTAGACAAATAACTTATCCTCTTAGTGCCCTCATCGGTAAAATGGGAAATATCCTACTTGTACTGACTATCAAGATGATTGTAAAGATCAAAAAAATGATGTGTGAGGACACACTGTGGACTGTTTCTCACTTCATACTGCTTACACCGCTGGGCCAAGCTGTGAGTTAGCCAACTGGACTTACTGCTGTGGCGGGTGACAAAGAGAAGGAAAGGAAAAAATGGGATGTGGAATGAGTGTGGGGAATGAGGTTCTGGTTTTACTTGACCCTGGAATCAGTACCCCCGCCGACCCACTGAGCTCTCAGTTCTGAGCTCCCTGGCAGTAAGAACAGCCCTCTCCCCGCCCCGTTCTTACGCTCCACATGTGAGGGTCCCAGGCCAGGAACCAGCCTGTGAAGATGGGAGGCTCAAAGCCCTGTTTGATGATCAGGATTGGTGTGCCGGCATCTCGGCCGCCAGGGTGAGTGTGCAGGTACTCCTGCGCGGTGGCCAGGGCCTGCTCCTTCTCAGCGGCGTTGGCCTCAACCCCAATCCACAGGAACACCTGTTGTAGTCGAGAGTCAACATCTGTTCATGTGTTCATACCACGGGCTAAGTACTAGGTCACGCACACTACCCTCTCTCCCCCCTTTCTTTTGTGAGCAGTTCACTATCTCGGAAAACTTTCTCAGCCTGATTTGTTCAGAAAGGGTTTCCCAGAATCAGCTTGCTAGCTACTATTTTAATTGCTGTGTGATCTTCCATACTGACACCTCCAAACCTGAGCTCTCTGAACTTCAGCTTCCTGAACCCAACTTCTTGCAAAACACCCCCTTTTAGCTGTCTCTAAGAACCTCAACTGTAACACCCCGAAATGTAGCTCTTCTGGTCTGGACTTGTATCTATCTGAGTCACCACTCTTGGTAAGTGCTATCTATACAGGGACCTAAAGCAGAGACCTGGAAGCAGCCTAAAACCCCCCAGTGAGTCTCCAGGGCTGGCCAGCTTTATCTCTGAAGCATCGACAGATCAGCCACCATCTCTCTATCCCTACTCCAGTGCCCTTGTGCGGGCCCAGAGCAATTCACCCTTGACCGTGACAGTGGTCTACTGGCTGGTGTAGGGTATTCTTTTGCTCACCTCCATCCTTCCTCTCCTACTTGTACCGGAGTGACCTGTCTAAAATATAGTCCAGCCACGCCACTCACCTGCTTACATTTTAGTGGCTTTCCAGGATTTCAGGCCCATGCCTACTTCTTCAGCTTCACCTCTAGGATGCTCCTTAACTCTGTCTCGTGTTCTTTTTTTTTTTTTGGAGTTGGAGCCTCACTCTGTCACCCAGGCTGGAGTGCAGTGGCACAGTCACCGCCACCACAGTCTCGGCCCCGCTGGGCTCAGGCGAGCCTTCCATCTCAGCCTTCTAAGTAGCTGGAACCACAGGCGCATGCCACCATACCCAGCTAATTTTTTAAATTTATTGTAGAGACAAGGTCTCGCCAAGGTTCCCAGGCTGGCCTTGAACCCCTGGGCTCAGGCAATCCTCTCTCCTCCGCCTCCCAAAGTGCTGGGATGACAGACGTGAGCTACCACGCCCAGCTGTCTCCTGTTCTGATGTTATTTCTGGATGTTTCCTGCATAGTATAATATTTTGTGCCTGCTGCTGCTGCTTGTGCTGTTTCCTTCTCTGTCCTTCTTTACTGGTTAATGTCTACTCATCCTTCAAGATGCAGCCTGGGAGTCATCTCCTCCAGGAAGTCTTTTTGAGCCCCTGCACTGCATTGGGTGCCCTAACTAGTGCTCCCACGGCACCTTGTATATACCGCATCGTAGTGAAATGATGTTCCGCGTCTGGCTCCCCCGTGAGCCTGGAGACTGAGAACAGGGGCCCTTCACCTTGGTGATGCCCACCTAGCACAGTGACGAGCATGGAGGAGGGCTCAGAGAGTGTTTGCTGAGGGAAGGGGTGTCTGGAGGAGGGGTTGCCTGATGATAGCCCCTTCACATCCCCTTTGTTCCCCAGAAGCCCCATATCTGAATTTGGAGGCTGTTGCCATTGATCCTAAGGTAAACCAGTGCCTGATGACAGGTGACCTGATTTCCCAAAGCAAGGTGAGAAGTTTCCTGGGGTAGTGAGTTTTGAGCATCAGTCTGCTCCCTCCAGCCCTGGCAAAAAGCAGGCTCTTCCTTTGGTCACTGCTGACAGATGGTCAAGGGCTACCCCAGGTTTTTTCTGGGGTGGGGGTACCACACAAAAAAAGGCTTAAACAATGGGATCTTTGGCACTGGTTCTGAGTTCTGTGGCTCTGTCTTACCTGGTCCCAGGTATCTAGGAGCATCACGTCACCTGGGTTCAGGTCATCCTGGGTGAAGTCTGTGATCTCAGTGACAATGAACCGGCCAGTCTTGTTGGAACATTCGAAGAGCCGGGGCTGGACATCTAGGACTTCCTGCTGTAATCTGCAGTACAGTTCATTTAGAGGCACCGGGCTGCCTGGAAATGTTTTAAAAACTGACGGGCATCTTAGGCTTAATGCAGTTAATGAGCCTGAGGGGAAGGGGAGCCAGGAGAGGGACACTGTGTTCCCGTACCTTTTATCGTTGGCATAAGGTGCTCTCCCTCCCAGTAAGTCCCAGAACTCAGCTGGCTCCTGGCCCTCTGCCACAGTGTCCTCAGCGCCGTCACAGAGGAACCCGGCCAGCTCCTTAGCCATGGCCCGCTCATCCCCACTCGACCCCTGAGAGTGGGCAAGGAGAGTGCAGTGTTGGCTGCAAGGGGTACATGGATGTGGAAGGAGAAGCACTCAAGATTCCTCATGCTGTGGCCACAACCAGCTCCAGGCTACAGTCCCTCAGGATAGGGACGGGAGAAAGGCAGAGCGTGGCGGCAAAGAGCAGGACTAGATCTGAACCCACAGTGCACGGTGACCAGAGTCACCTTTGTTTCAGCTTCAGGTGGTGTTTTAGCACCTACTTTTGATTCTTTCTTTTTTTTTTCACTCTGTCACCCAGGCTGGAGTGCAGTGGCACACTCATGGCCACCACAGCCTCAACCTGCTGGACTCAGGCAATCCACCTCAGCCTTCCAAATAACTGGAATCATGCCCTGCTAATTTTTGGATTACTGTAGAGATGAGGTCTTGCCAAGCTGCCCAGGCTGGTCTCGAACCCGTGGACTCAGGCAATCCTCTTGCCTCTGCCTCCCCAAACTGCTGGGATTACAAGCATGAGCCACTGTGCCCAGCTAGATTCTTTCTTTTTCTAAAGAAAAAAATTTATTTTTAAAATTACATTTAGAAAAATACACTCTTTTACATTCAGTAAAATACACACTTTTTTTCTGAGTCAGAGTCTCACTCTGTCACCCAGGCTAGAGTGAAGTGGCATGCTCATGGCCACCACAGCCTCGACCTGCTAGGCTCAGATGATCCTTCCTCCTCTGCCTTCCAAGTAGCTAGGACTACAGACATGCGCCACCATGCCCCAGCTAATTTTTTTTATTTATTGTAGAGGCAAGATCTCAGCATGTTGCTCAGGCTGCTCTTGAACTCTTGGGCTCAGGCAGTCCTCTTGCCTCCGCCTCCCAAAGTGCTGGGATTACAGGCATGAGCCACCATCCCGGCAAATACGCACGTTTCTAAGAGTATTTTTTTTTTTTTAGTTGGTGTCTCACTCTTGTCCCCCATGCTGGAGTGCAGTGGCATGATCACGGCCACCACATCTTCAACCTCCTGGGCTCAGGCGATCCTTCTGCCTCGGCCTTCCAAGCCTGGCTCATTTTTAAATTTATTTAGAGATGAGGTCTCGCCAAGTTGCCCAGGCTGGTCTCAAACCCCTTCCCTCCACCTCCCAAAGTGCTGGGATTATAGGGATGAGCCACTGTGCTTGGCAGTTCTAGGTCTTTTTTCTTTCTTTTTTTTTTTTTTGAGTTGGAGTCTCACTCTGTCGCCCAGACTGGA